GAAAACTTTCGGCTCACTGCAAACTTCCCCGTCCTGGTTACCTTTGATTCGTTTTCAGTACATTTTGAAAACCATCTGCGTTGATTACTGATACCATCGAGCTTTTCTCAGCAAAAAAAGTTTTTATCATTTGAGAAGGACCAATTTTATTTTCTTTAGTACGGAATTGACCAGTTCCCTACACTTTTGCTAACCTCTCGTTAAACACACTTTCATATTCATTTTGTCATATGAATCTTGTTTTTCTTCTCAAATATTTTACGCAGAATCGGAAAATCTCGAGCGTCATTTGCAGAACCAAGGAATATTCATTTGTGAGACCGAGCAAGCACTAATCACATCCTCTTTTAGAGTTTTAAAGACATTTGCTATGTAATTTTTTCATCTCTTATATTGTATGTTCAAAATAAATTGGGTATAATTAAGGTCTCTCATATTTTTAGTGTTTCTATCTACGGTCGACGAGATGAAAACTCGTCGTTGATTGAGGAGACCAACATCACGATGGATCCGCGCACTCCACAATTCAACACGAAGGATATTGAGATCTCGATGAATAACATCACATTGAAAGCTGAGAAACCCGAGAAGAACGTTCAGGTTCGTCTTTGTAGCACAACAAATAAGAAATAAAATAGAGTAACACTGAATGAAAATATTCAGGACTCTTTCTTGGTGGAATATCGTCAAATCGATCCTGAGAAACGATATCCAGTGCTGGAAGTAATTGACATACCCGAACAGAAGGATCTGGAAGTCTATTTGGGTACGTGTGAACAGAAAAAGTCAAATTTAAAGTAATATTTATATATGTTTTGATTATAGGCAATCTTAACCCTGGTCGGGATTACCATGTGCAGGTAACGGCGACAAGATTAGGCTCGAAGAGTCGACCATGGTCAATGACTCTAGCTACAAGTGAGTATTATCGCATTCGGTTATTGCAAGACAAGGTTAAAAAACAATGTAAAATGATCTTTGAGCCAAGGGAAGGATAATTAGAAGTGGATTCAAAAAGTTAACATATCGATAGATGAAGTTTAAATGCTGATGTCAAATCTGTATCCGCGAAGCACTTTTCCAAAAAGAGTTGAGAAAGTTCTGACGTAAA